CAAGTGCTCCTGGCAGATGATCGGAAATGACGTCACGGAATGCACCTACTGTCAGGAGCCAGCAGCCTACCCACTTGAACACTATCTCCTCGATTGCGAGGTCACACAAAGCCTCCGAAACAGAACTCAAATCTCCCAAGAAACACACACAACACCAGCGGCCACTCTAACCCGAAAGGCCCATACAGACCACATTCACCACCTACTCCGGGTCATCACACGATACCCACCACCCAGATAGCTTAGAAAGCATCCTCTCCCAGCAAGTGCGGACCCCAGTTCGGGGGGCGCGCCACTCCGAAGCTGACCACGTCCAAGAGTGGGGGCTGGTGGTAAGCGTCCACTGATCGGGGGTCCGCTCACACTTGCAACCTGCAGTATCCCTCCAATCTGCAGGTGGGACCACCTCCAATCCCAATCCGGTCTGGCTGCTCCTGGAGCTCCAGCCGGAACCACCAAACGGGCCGCCTATAGGCAAAGGCCCGTGTCGGACTACGGTCCGACAATCTATACAACAACAACAACAAATACGGGTTACCACAGGGGGTGTAGGAACACATTTCCACAACTGTCCCAAAACCACATGTTAAGAGTCTTCTTTTATCCTTTCATTACTGTGATTATAAAACTTAAAGTTCATCAGTTTATCTTAGCAAAATCAAACACAAACAACTCTTGCATTTTCATAGATTTCCCAGATTTTACGGATTTCCAAGGATTTTTTTTTTATAATACACTGATTTCATAAATTTTATAGATTCGTGAATTTCCTGGATTTTCAAGGATTTCATGATTTTACAGGGATTGAAATGATTTCCGTGAATTTCTTGGATTTGTATGGATATCTCATAAATTTGAGAGATTTGGTACATTTTAAAGAATTCATGGAGGAACCTTATATATTTCAGGAAACTGTGGATTTTCATGAATTGCCTGAATTTTCACGGATTTCATGGGTATTCGTGGATTTCAGGGATCTTACACGTCTCATGGAATTTCACGGTCCATATGGATTTCAAAGATAATGAAGAAAATTATGGCTTTCACAGATTTGTTGAATTATACTGCAGTGACTACTTAAATAATAACAAGAGCAGCAAATACTACTACTACTGTTCCAACTTCTGCTTTTTTAACGACCTCCAACCTCCCCCACCATTTCATTGCCTAACTATCCGAATACAAAATTATGTATTTTAATTAAACGATTTAAACCGCATATATATGTCTGTGACTGTTGTAGGATTAGGGGCCGATAATCTAGTCTCCTGTGACACTGCAGAGCAGACTTGAGTAAGGGGAAGGACAGGTGACATCTTAAGTAGGCCACGAAGTAACTTCTGGGTTACTACTAACACTATTACTTGCAGTAGTAGTACTATAGATAATGATAATGATGAAAATATGATTAATGATATTAATAATAATGATAAAAATAACGACATTGATAAAAGAAAAAGAAAAAGAATATGATTAATTCAATTAATATTGACGAGCAAGAACGATGGAAATAACTAATACCAATGGCCGCATGTTACCGTAACTTTGCTCACGATGTTGAACACAGGAGGAACGAGGACGACAAGATAAGGGCATAAGGGGAGAGATTTCAGGACGTTGATCAAGGCAGCTTCACTCCTCTAGTGTTCACAACCTGTGGCGGGATGGGACCAACTGCAAGATGCTTCTACGCCAGACTCGCGGAGGTGATAACCGAGCAGAAGAAGCAGCCCAGAAATTATGTTACAGCCTGGATGAAATGTCGACTGTCCTTGTCTCTCCTTCGGTAGGCTTTGCTCTGCCTCAGGGGAACGAGAGCATCGGCCCCAAAGCCGACAACAGTTGCTCAACTAACTCAACAAAGCTAGGATAGCTTCTTATGTATTTGGATATTTAATATTAAGGCAATAAAGTGTTGGCGAAGATATGGCTATTGGGGGAGGCTGGAGGCCATTTATAAAAAAAAAAAACTAATACTCCTTCTACTGCTTCTAGTACTGCTACTAATATTAGCTTCACTGTGGTCGTTACTCAACTCTTGTCAGGTTTTCTCATACAAATACACATCCACTACTCTAACTACACAGTCATTTTGTATTGCTCCTTTTCTTGCATTCACTCTTCTAGATTATCAGCCTCTGGAGGAAACCAAGTGAAGAAATAAGAGATCACGTCGAGCTACCCTTGAATCAGAGAACGTCCATATATTGTTTAAATTGACATTTTATTTCTTAATTAGGTTTCAATAATTTTTCAGTGACAAATGTATTATTATACAGCTTATACCCCACCAATTTTATCAGCTTTCTCTCTCACTTTTCATTACCATATTATCTCTTCTTCATGTGATTCATCTCATAAACCATCATCATCACACTATCATATAATTATTACCTTCTAAGAATAGTATAGCAGCCATGTTCCCTAGACTGGCTACGTCACATGACCCTGGGCGGGTCTACAGGTATATAAGGCTTCGGTCCGCCTCACCCAACAACAGTCTCAACAACAGTTCATTCTCATAGCACCATGGCTCCCAAGGTGAATAGATCTCTTGTCTGCAAATCATTGATATGATAATTGATATATATACCTGTACGTTGTAGTGTTGAAGTTTATCATGTTTTTTCAGGTCACGAAATACAAGCTAAGGATATCACTGATCACTGAAAGTATAGTTAACATTAATGTGTTATGATAAGTGTTGTGGTTTCGTTCTGTAGGTTGTGTTATTTGCCGCCCTTGTGGCTGCAGCATTTGCCAGGCCTGACCCACAGTACAGCTCCCCCACTCCTGCATACAACCCCTCTGCCCACTCCTACAATGCTCCAGCTCATCCAAGACCTTCCTATTCTGCTGCTCCAGCTTATCCTGACGTAAGTTGATACTTCCAGACATCTTTTGAACGAAAAAAATTCTTTATAAAAAGTTAATTTGAGCTTGTCAGTATTTTTTCTGTGATCTATAATTATTTTACATAAAATACCATTATCGTGAATGTCAATGTTACCTTCTATTGTCTTTTTAGCAATATAAATATTCATGAATTATTATGTAAGTCATGTTAAGATATAAACAAAATATTTCATTTATCATAAAAATGAATACACAAACTGGAAAAAGTGTTATGCTGTTTACAAGGGCAAGTGTGATAGAAAACATAGGCAGATCGAGTAGTAATTCTATGTTGTCTTGGCCACAGACTCCTCCCCAATACAACTCCCAGTACGCCGTGAGGGACGACTACTCCGGCAACGACTACGGCCATGAAGAATCCCGTGATGGCTACAACACCCAGGGTACCTACTCCGTGTTGCTTCCCGACGGTCGTGTGCAGAGGGTGACTTACTACGTCGACGGTGACTCCGGCTACGTGGCTGAGGTGACCTACGAGGGTGAGGCCCAGTACCCAGCCTACCATCCCGCCCCAGCACCCTCCTACAGGCCTGCTCCTGCGCCCTCCTACACGCCAGCACCCAGCTATGCCTAAATTGAATTGAAAAACTACGGTGAATTTTATGTTGACAATTGTATTTATAAAAAAACCCTACGTGAATAAAAGCTAATGTATAGATTTTATGGCTTTAATTCGTCATATAATGAAGGACACATCTATGTTCTTTTTCACCTAATAACAATAGTCACTGACATATTATATAGTGTTTAAAGGCGATCCTCTATGAAAATTTATGTATCTTCATGCAAGGCGAATCGTGTTAACAAACGTATGGAAACACCCAGATCGCCACCATTAGGCGACTCCGGCTACTGTACATGGCTGAAGAACAGTATCTCGACCACCCAGCCCGTCCAAACACCCTCTTACCTCAGACCATCACCCTGAACCCTTGACATGTTATGGGAAGGATATTTGTTTATTATTATTTTTGTTTGTTTCTTCTACTCCCCTCTCTCTCCTCTTTCGTTCTTGGCTCTCTCTTACACAATGCTTGGAAATAAAAACACAAAATGTATGATAGTTAGTAAACGAAATTTGCACTTAATTATCTGTCATACAGTAATTGTTTCCTCTCATTAAAAACCTTAAAATCAGAATTGTCCAGTTACCATAAATTCTTTACTGTAATAATGTATTAACTCTTTTGGCCACAGGCCCGCCACGGCATCTTCCTACAAGCCAGCCCCGGCACCCTCCTACAGGCTCGCCCTGGCACCCTCCTACAGTCCCGCCCCGGCACCCGCCTACAGGCCCGCCCCGGCACCCTCCTACAGGCCCGCCCCGGCACCCTCCTACAGGCCCGCCCCGGCACCCTCCTACAGGCCCGCCCCGGCACCCTCCTACAGGCCCGCCCCGGCACCCTCCTACAGGCCCGCCCCGGCACCCTCCTACAGGCCCGCCCCGGCACCCTTATACGCTTAGGCCAACATCTTGATCTCAAGGCAGTGTAGTTCCCCAAGTATTTATTGTACGATAAGAAATACAGTTTATATCATTCCTAAAAAAAAATTCTTGATATTCATTGTGTTCGAGGTTGATGACGCCCGGAGTACTCGAGTGAGAGTAAATTAATCTTGGTATTGTGAGGATTTACAATCCAAGGATAATATTCAATGTTTTTGTACAATTGAAAACAGCAATCTTCTTAATTAAATAGACAGAATGTGTGTATTTGTGACATCATGCACACTCTAGAAATTGCCTTCCAGTCGCTTGTTTAATCAGAGGGGACACTCATAATTGCTGATGATGATTTACATCTGTTGCTTCAGAAACTGTTTTGTATTACTCATAGAAGTAATCTAATTTTCACCACCTGCTGACCTTTCTTACTCACTCTTTTCTCACTCCCACTCTACTTATATGCGAAAGCAATATATTTATCTAAAGAGAAAAGTCCTTTACCAATTCCTATTAATAATGTTGACATATGGAATCAAGACGTGACGATATAAATTTAACAGAAACTACAAACTTCTGAAAGAAACATGAAAAGTATATGTTAAGGTGTGTCTACGCGTGCGTACATTTTGTCGCCAAAATGTGGTCAACAAGAGGAAACATCGATCTAGTGCACGCGGACGCACCCTACCAGAGTCGGAACCCTATGCCTCATTTCGTCTTGTCGATCACATGTTGCTGACAAAATGAACGTACAGTACGTGTGGACGCACCTTTAGGTACAGTACAGTACGTAGAGAGAGGAGATGAAACGAATGGGTGAGATCTCAAACCAAAGTCCAAGATCTTTTCAGGGCAAAGAAACCGTTTGTTAACGTGGGACTGAGAGAATATAGGTCTATTGTTATATTGTTATTCAAAGTCGTCCAAAGGATAATGACATCCAATATTTAGTATTTATTTCATCCTCCACACCTCTCTCTCTCTCTCTCTCTCTCTCTCTCTCTCTCTCTCTCTTCATCTGTTGCCACTTTCCGTCCTCCTCCGATGTGATACTTACCGTGATAACAAAGACTAAACTAAGTGTAAATGATCTTAATAGTAAAATAAACCTCAGAGCTATCTATTGGCTCTTTATGCCATTTATTTGTAAGGAAGATCTTAAAGCTCAAATGTTACCTATATTTAACTTGATGATTACGTCTTAAGGGAGATAAATATTATCTTTTGTTTGGTATTATGTTGATGTTATAAAGTTTTTGTGGTTCTGACGCTGACTTGTTAATGTTAGATTTGATAAATTATTTTTATAACAAGTAGTTGCCTGTTAAAATTAATACAAAATGCTATACACAAATATTTTTTAATTCTGAAAGAGTGAGCTAATGCTCTATAACCCCCCCTTTTGATTACATTTTTGGATCACTAGATGTAATGGCGTCACTTTTTAATGATCCCTAAATGGCTGGAGGGCGGTGAACCCTGATGTTACCACCGTCTGTGATCTTTGATCCTGTTTCAACTTAACAAAATTACAAAGTAATTGTTTTGCTTTAGTATTCGTAGCGGGTTGTGAGTCATTTATTGCTGAATTAATGCTCATAAATTACGTAACGAGACAAAGACAATTGAGAAAGACTAAATTTGCAAAAAATATTAAACTGTTGACTCAAACACATTACATAAACTTATAGAGAACTGCATACACATTACACAGTGTTTCCATCTATGATTATCCTTCTTGACGGACTAATGTAATTATTATCCTCGTTACGCACTTCAAGTCATTAGTTGGTGAAGCGCAGCAATAACACTATAACGCCATAGACGACAACAACAAGAACTAAGAAAAGTTCGTTTTAAATCTGAAGGTATTCTGGAAACGCATAACTATTACGAGTATATTGCCAGGCAGAAGAGACACTTGCATCTCATGCTATTGTAATATACAGGTACAGATAATGACTAGGAAATAGAAACATGAAGCGAGAATAGTCAGGTAAACGTTTGGATCTTTTAATGATTATACAGTATTAGTAAATTAATGGTAACGTAGTGATAAGTAGTCCATATACGGTCAAATTGGTTCTGCCGTATTCATGGCACCGTTTGCCGTCATTACATAACCAACTATACCTAAACTAGTTTGGGTTAAGTTAATTAGATTAATAATGCTCCTATACATGTATAGCTTCTATAAAGAGTACCTACAAATTCAACATGATCGTTCCCATGTACTGTACAGTACACACTAGTTTAAGATTGGGAGAGATATATCAAGATTTTGGCTAAATTGCACGCATCCTTATTTTACTTGTATATATATTATTTATTTTTTTGTTACTATTAATAAAGAATTTTATTCTATCACGTAATCTCTAGTACAGTGATTTCCGCTAAACATCTCTCATTACGCCAGTAAAACATTCTCATTTTTTATCTTCATACTTCTGTAGTGGAGTACAAGGAGTACACATGGCAGTGCGCCTGCGGCACGAATACCATAATCTCAACAAATGACATGGTGACGCAAGTATGGGCGGGGCTGCAGGTATATAAGGCTCTGGTTTGTTTGGGAAAGCATCAGTCACCTCCAACGTTCACCACCGCCATGACTAGCAAGGTGGATACAGTTCTTTACAAGTATTTACATGATTATACATTATATGTTAATTCTAATGTATATGTTTCTAGTATACAACGACTTTGCATTATATAGTATAGGTCATGATATACCAGCAGCGAATTTCACTGATCAATAAGTGTACAGTTTACATTAATGAGTTATGACAAGTGTTGTGGTCTCGCTCTGTAGGTTGTTTTGTTGGCCGCCCTTGTGGTTGCAGCCCTCGCCAGGCCTGATCCACAGTACAGTCCCCCCACTCCTGCATACAACACCCCAGCCCCCTCCTACAACGCCCCCGCTCACCCTAGACCTTCCTACTCTGCTGCTCCTGCTTATCCTGACGTAAGTTGGTACTGCCAGATGTATCATGTAAGCTGTTGACAGATGAACATGTGTGGTAAAGCAGTTGTTGCTGTATGATGAAAAGAAATAGTTATATGACAGCATGAAAAGATTATTGTCATTATATTTGACAAAAATATGCAATATAGAGAAGCTACAGGTATGATATTGTGACAAGTATTGATACAAAATATAAGCGATCAAGTAGTGATAATATATTAATACTGTCTTGGACACAGACTCCTCCCCAGTACAACTCCCAGTACGCCGTGAGAGACGACCACTCCGGCAACGACTTCGGCCATGAAGAATCTCGTGACGGCTACAACACCCAAGGTACCTACTCCGTGCTGCTTCCCGACGGTCGTGTGCAGAGGGTGACTTACTACGTCGACGGTGACTCCGGCTATGTGGCTGAGGTGACCTACGAGGGTGAGGCCCAGTACCCAGCCTACCAGCCTGCCCCAGCACCCTCTTACAGGCCCGCTCCTGCACCCTCCTACACGCCAGCACCCAGCTATGCCTAAGTTGAATTCAAGATCTACAATGCATTGCTTATTGACCATTGTATTTACAAACCATCGAGAATGTAGTGAAGATCAGTATTTATTGAACAACCATTAATAAACGTTATGCACTATTAATCATCTACATTCTTTCTAAACCTTTTTTGCGGTTGGTGACTTCGAGTTTATTTAGATTAATGAACTACGCAAATATAATGATTGTGTTGAGGCTTTAAGAGGATTTACCATAAAGTGATGGAAATTAACGTTCCTACACAAGAGAAATTTTCTAAGGTAATATAACTTTGAATGGATTTTCAAGCCTTTCTGTATATATATATATATATATATATATATATATATATATATATATATATATATATATATATATATATATATATATATATATATATATATATATATATGCAAATAAATCACTGTATTTGCGCGTGATCCAGTTATATGCTGATAACCACAAGGAAAAAAGAAAACACGAAGTTCCTAAGCCCTTTCGCGTAATTCACATCTTCAGGGGTGAGTACAAACTAAGACTTAGTCTGTACTCACCCCTGAAGATGTGAATTACACGAAAGTGCTTGGTAACTTCGTGTTTTCTTTTTTCCTTGTTAGTTATCAGCATATATATATATATATATATATATATATATATATATATATATATATATATATATATATATATATATATATATATATATATATATATATATATATATATATTATAATGCATGATACAGTGTATTTATTATCGAATCTACTTGTACTTGTGGTGCCAATGACACTCTAGATCAGTGGTTCTCAACCTTGTTTGCCCCATGCACCCCTTTCACCATATGTCAGAATGTCATTCCCCCCCCTCCTTTCCAAGATTGTCTGCCTCAAAAAGTGCATTCCAAATAATATGCATATAATACTGAAAATCCTTTATTTTTTCCATATTAGTACATATACATTTACAATTTTACATGGATAATTTTTATAGTGGAGTTTTACAAATTAAATGCCAATTGAAAATGTTGATGGATTTATAAAACTTGAATAAAAGTAAAATAGTTTTTTTTATATTAATATTGAATTGCTTAACAGACCAAACTGAAGCATAATGCAATAAACAAAAAGTTCAATAGAATACCAGGATATTGTAAATTTGTAATTAATTTTATTCAGATGAAAATTACAGTCAATGAGAAACCTGTGATTGTTTTTTCTTCGCCAATTCTGGGATACGCGGAGGAGTGCTTGAAAGGGCACAGCGCAGGTCATTTTCTACCTCTAATCTACTACGTTGCTTCGTTTTAATTTGCAACAGAGTTGAAAAGCCTGACTCACAAAGATATGTCGACACAAACGGAAGCAATGCACGGATAGCTCTTTCTGCCACTTTTGGGTAGGAATCGCACATCAAGGGCCAAAATTCTGTGATTGATTTCTCATCGAACATATCTCTTGCTCCCGAATTAGTTCCCCCCCCCTCCCTGAAAACCTGAATTCCCCCCTGCTTGAGAACCCCTGCTCTAGATTCTAGAGGCTGCCTCCCAGCCGCACGTCCTGTCGGAGGGGAAATTCAAACCATTGTTGATGTTTTAAATCTGTTTCTCTAGAAACTCTCTTGCACAACTCACATAACTATTTGTACACTTCCTGGCGACCATTCTGACACACTCATATGAAACATTTTAATTAGGATATTGGAGTTTATATCTTTCTCTCTCTTTTTGTACTCCCACTGGACTTAGTTTCATATGCAACATTATTTTTTGTCCATCGTACTGAGACACGAGGATAAGACACACACTGTACAGTATACTATATTGAAACTCCAAACTGGTAAATAAAACAGAAACAAACAGACACTTGTATGGTAAAAACTGATGCAAATAGAGGAAAATAAAATGAATGTATAAGACCTCAAACCTAATACAAGATAATGATTTAAGAACACAGGAACTATTTGCATCAGAGGAAATTAACCAACGCTAGATAACTATCGTGTCTAGTTTCTCCGAGGTGTAAGGGACTAACCATTTAACGACGTCATACAATGTTTGATAGATTACACCACTTTCCTTCCCTTCCAACCCCCCCCCCTCCCTCTTCTCACCTGTTATCACCTTGAGTTAACCCTTCCGCCCGCCTCTCGCGTGATACCTAACATGGCGACGAGGGTTCAAGGTTAGTGTTAAATAATTTAATGATAAAATAATACTCAGTACTTTCTCTTGAATTTATCTGATTATTAAACAAGACCTTCACATGGAACTGACAAACTGACATATAATCATAATTTGAAGTTAAGGAAATTAAACACTAATTTGTAATGATGAGTTTAGAGCTTAAATGCTATTTGCATTTAATATACACAAACAATGTCTTTAGGCAGAGAAATTTATTGTTTTTATTGATAATATTGAAGTCAGGATACAACTAACATTAGGAAATATTAATTGCTAATATGAAGTTTAATAAAGTGAGTTAGTTTACGTTTCAGCTAGTTGTGTGTACCAAAATAGTCAAAATTATGCATATGTATTTCATAAAGTTTATGTACTATATATTAATATATAAAAATAATTAAATTAGTAAGTAATAGTTTTTCCTTCTAAAAAGTATTTGACAAGAATTATAATTTCTTGACACTTTGCAACACCTCCCTTACAATGACGTCACGAATGAGTATTAAAGGCGTGGCGGATGAGGAACAGTAATTCTGGGTGCTGTATTTCTCAGACATATAGACATAAGATAACTCCATGACCATAGTGTCAATACCACATAGTTTCTGAATTAAAACACATGACAGTTCGGGTTGGAGTGTGATAAAATCTACGAAGTATAAATGAAATATCCAGTGTTGCATTCTGTTATGCATTTTACCGTAAATGATCAAAGTTCAGGGCCCTCTTCCTAAATGATACCAGTTACTTTAAATAGGGTTTTATATTTCATATTATAGTTCCATAGACTTATTGCAGTCCTCCCCCTACGCACTTTATGGTTTAACTCCGAAACTATGGGGTATTGACACTATGGTCATGGGGTCATTCATACTTATGTATGTCTCAGAAATACACCCCCCAAATTAAGAAACGTATTTCCAAATACCGTGTATAATATATATATATATATATATATATATATATATATATATATATATATATATATATATATATATATATATATATATATATATATATATATATATATATACTGCTAAACAAAATCGTTACATCTACTTAAAAAAATTTTGGTATCACATCACGTCACATCAACCTTTTTTTCCCACTTCCGAGGTGGGCCAGGGGCGGTAAACGTGACAGTGTACAATATATTGACTAAAAATACCGTATAGTCAAGAAATGACAAAATGACGCAAATATGGGAGGGGCTGCAGGTATAAAAGGCTCTGGTCGGTCTGAGAAATCACCAGTCACCTTCACAGTTCACTGCCGTCATGACTACCAAGGTGGATATAGTTCTTCTCCACACTGACAAGAGTTTGAAAGTTTATAATGAGATGTGAATAGAATGCAATAAATTATATACTACGTCATGAAATACTTGCAAAAGATATCATTATCAGTGAAAGTTTAGTATTGTTAACATTAATGTTTTATGACAAGTGTTGTGCTCTTGCCCTATAGGTAATGTTATTGGCCGCCCTTGTGGCTGCAGCCCTCGCCAAACCTGACCCACAGTACAGCCCCCCCACTCCCGCATACAACCCCCCCGCCCCCTCCTACAGCGTTCCCGCCCATCCTAGACCTTCCTACTCTGCTGCTCCAGCTTATCCTGATGTAAGTCGGTGCTTCCAGACGTATCATGTTAGGGTAACTGTTGACAGATGACATGTGTGGTTACGTAGCTGTTGCAGTATAATGAATATATCCAAATGAAAGTGAAGTTATATTAAAAGAGCATTCTTTTCATTAAATATGATAAAAAAAAATATGTGCAAGATATAGAATGTTCCAACTACATTATTGGGACAAGTGTTGGTACCAAATATAATCAGGTCATGCAATAATAATGCATTAACTGTTTTGACCACAGACTCCTCCCCAGTACAACTCTCAATACGTCGTGAGGGACGACTACTCCGGCAACGACTTCGGCCATGAAGAATCCCGGGACGGCTACAACACCCAGGGTACCTACTTCGTGCTGCTTCCCGACGGTCGTGTGCAGAGGGTGACTTACTACGTCGACGGTGACTCCGGCTACGTGGCTGAGGTGACCTACGAGGGTGAGGCCCAGTACCCCGCCTATCAACCCGCCCCAGCGCCTTCGTACAGGCCCGCTCCGGCACCCTCCTATGCTTAAACCAATAGCTTGGCCCTTCGAGAATGTAGTGAAGCCATTATTTACTGAACGATAAGAAATAAACATTTTACTGAATATAGCCATATGTTTTCCCTGTGGTTCTTTTTAGAATATTCGTGAGTGATATTGATTCCAATTTCATAAGATTTAGAATTCATTTAATATAGTGTCAAGTGATCAAACCTGTGTACAATGTGATGTTAATACTGTAACAGTTTAATATCTCTCTTTTCCTTATGTAAGTTGACTGATTCCATCTTTGGTACACAAGACTTTTCTCTCTTTCATGTTGCGTATTTTTCTATATACAGTATTCTCCAGTTCTTTCAGTCTCTGTTTTTGGTATATACCTGAATATATACAAATCTACAGTGTTTGCACTGTCTCTTTATCTATTTTTACTGTCCTTGGTTCTGTCTTTATCAGTCTCTTTCAATTTTTTTTATCCTTGTTTTCTTTATAATTCAGCTCCTCTCTCTCTCTCTCTCAGACTCACTTTTCCAAGACAAGAAAAAATGCATTATGATTTACAATGACTTTATTATATGAACACATATAACGAAGAGAGAAAAGATTTTTTGGACATCCTTCAAGACACTCAAGCAAGAAGGTCACCCAGTTATCTTACAAACTTATAAGCAGCATAAGTGACCAATATATGCCTTATATGTGGGTAAAGTATCAGTCTTTCACGACTAATCTAAAACTTTCACATTTTTGGTCTTTATCTGATCTTTGTACAGTCTTCTACACTCATTGACTCACGTGTAGATTTTTTTTGATATTTCACATCAACTTCTCATCATCTATGTCATCCTGTGATCTGTCAAGTAATGGCAGTGGTAACTTTCATGTCAGATGAGGTGAGTTGGCATTTCTCTGGCTTTTAAAGAAGATATAAAGCGAAGATTCCTCCTTTTATAGTAATTTTGAATTCCTCGAATCTCTAAGGGAGAGTATGGTGGACATTTTAGTATGTAAAACCATTCACGGAAACTCAAATTTTTAGTGTAGTGCAAAATATTAAGGATAATTTACATCTTATGGAAGGCGGCAGTCGAGTGAATACAGCTCTCGCCTCCTGTTCCAGAGGTCGGTGGTTCAATTCCTGTACGCTCCCAGTTCACCCAGCTGTAAATGGGTACCTAAGTTTATAACAGTGTGCTGTATACTGCCCTAATTGGCAGTCATGTTTGTGGGACCGACTTTTTTTTTCACTTTCACTCAAAATGCATTTTTTTAAGAATAACCCTGATAAATTTGGTAAACCCATGGAATGTAAGATATTTTATTAACTAATTTACATGCTGTTAAAAATTCCTAAGTATAAGTCATAGATCTACTACTATTACTAATATATCATCTGAAGTGTCGGAGCTTACAGGATAATGTGATACACCGTTCACTGACTATGGGCAGCGCCAGAAATGTTCCTCCATCAAAGATCACTAATGAAAATTTCCTTCCCTGTGTATCATTTAAGTAAACTGTTAAGTGTATAGACCGACTCAGTGGTTCTCCAACTTTTCGAGTGCGACCTAATTTTTAATATCTCGGAACTTCGCGATCCTTTGATTCAAATACAAAAGTCATAACTGTAAAATCAAATTTATTGTTACATCAACTAGGAATTTAATAGAAAGCACAACTAGCGTTAAACGGAGCAGTTGAAGGCTCCCATTCTGTGCCGGTGACCTTGAGAGTTTATTAAAAAAAACAGACAAAAAACGTTAACTTTGCTGGGTCATCACGGCCCACTGAAAATCGGCTCGCGACCCACCTTTGGCTCGTGACCTGTGATTTGACAGCCAATAGAGAGTGATTGGTTTTTAATATAAATTTTAAGTTTTGAAAAAAAAAAAAATCCATATAATTACGTAGAATGAATGTGGGAAAGTAATGGCCCTTAACCCCTTTGAAATAAACTCTAAATGTTCTAACGTGGCAAGATGGTAATATAGTTTATTAGATGTTACTACTTCCTCGGTCTACCTCCCTGGATTCAATGGTCATACTGATATCCCCGAGTCACTGCTTGTTACCTAGCAACAGTTGTTTTTGGGTGGCAAGTCAGCTTCCATACAAGGCTCAGATTAACTCCTATTAAGTTAAACCTTGAAATGTGTTTACATTACCTGACCCAAACTCTGTTATCAATACATTATTGACATCAACAAGATACTTCTATGTTTCTTATTACCGAGGCTTTTCTCCTGCCGGATACCTGCACTGTTTCGTGTTCAAATAAATATCAAGTTGGACTGCCTTTCACATTTCACTTTCTATTGCAGTAAACGCTTGGCAGTTACAGAGTTCTTCTGGGGTTCTTATTACATATTTACCCAGTTCACTTCGCCACAAAGGATCTTCTTGTAATTCCTCTGGATTTTGTCAGTGAAATGTCCGCCATTTATATTTTACCCATCCCGTGTTTTATCAAGTGGTTTTATCGTAGTTAATGAAAAGTTCTTAGTCGCCCTTGTTTGTTTGTTTACCGACAAGATTTTACTTGATCCTTTAGGTTTCTTATTTTCTGAAGTAGGTGAAGAAAAAAGACTTTTCAGATGACTTGAAAAAAAATATTTATCTGTTGTTCATCAGAACTTTCATTTGTATTAATATTTCTGTAATTACCACAGTGCTAATTTACTCATTATGCCTTTCTCAACAAAATTATCATTTTTTTTCTCCCTCTTGTCATTATCACAAAATATCATCTGGTAACCTTCATCATCACATGCTTATTACCTTCTAAGAATAGTAAAGCTGCCCTGTTCCCTAGACTGGCTACGTCATATGACCTGGGCGGGACTTCAGGTATATAAGACTTCAGTTCGCCTCACGCAACAAGTCTCATCAACAGTTCATTCTCATAGCACCATGGCTCCCAAGGTTAATAGATCTCTTGTCTGCAATTCTTTGATGGAGATAATTTGTACTAAGAGATTTATGTACTGTTCAGTGGTATAGTGTAGACTATCATTTTCATATTTATTTATGTCAAGAATTATTTACAGACGAGACAGTTGAGACTGATATATTATAACAAGTTTTGTGGTCTCGTCCTGTAGGTTGTTTTGTTGGCCGCCCTTGTGGCTGCAGCCCTCGCCAGGCCTGGTCCACAGTACAACCCCCCCACTCCCGAATACAGCGCCCCTGCTCACCCTAGACCTTCCTACTCTGCTGCTCCCGCTTATCCTGACGTAAGTTGGTATTGCGAGAAGCATCTTGTATGCTGTTAATAAGTGTGCCCATAAGACAAAGAGAAATAAAATTGTCTTGTTTCCTAATATTACTTAAATTTTCAATAATAAAAAGGAAGAAAAACAGGATATTAATGTGCGGTATTTCAGCAATACTTGCAAGAGGAATATTCACGAACAAATAAAAAACTTGTCTGCTTCAGAAATTTACTTTCAAGAAACGATATAAAAAAACATGAATGCGGGATACAATGAACATCACAACAGTCATGGGAACAAGTATTGACCTAAATGTATTGATGATTTATAATAATAATATATTGACTGTCTTGGTCACAGACTCCTCCCCAATACAACTCCCAGTACGCCGTCAGAGACGACTACTCCGGCAACGACTACGGCCATGAAGAATCCCGTGACGGCTACAGCACCCAGGGTACCTACTCCGTGCTGCTTCCCGACGGTCGTGTGCAGAGGGTAACTTACTACGTCGACGGGGACTCCGGCTACGTGGCTGAGGTGACATACGAGGGTGAGGCCCAGTACCCATCCTACCAGCCTGCCCCAGCACCCTCTTACAGGCCCGCTCCTGCGCCCTCCTACACGCCAGCACCCAGCTATGCCTAAGTTGAATTCAAGATCTACAATGCATTGCTTATTGACCATTGTATTTACAAACCATCGAGAATGTAGTGAAGATCAGTATTTATTGAACAACCATTAATAAACGTTATACACTATTAATCATCTACATTCTTTCTAAACCTTTTTTGCGGTTGGTGACTTCGAGTTTATTCAGAGTAATGAACTACGCAAATAAAATGATTGTGTTGAGGCTTTAAGAGGATTTACCATAAAGTGATAGAAATTAACGTTCTTACACACGAGACATTTTCTAAGGTTATATAACTTTGGATGGATTTTCAAGTCTTTCTATATATATATATATATATATATATATATATATATATATATATATATATATACTATATATGTATATGTATATATATATATATATATATATATATATATATATATATATATATATATGCAAGTATCATATATATATATATATATATATATATATATATATATATATATATATATATATATATATATATATATATATATATATATATATAATGCATGATACAGTGTATTTATAATCGAATCTGCATGTGTACTTGTGGTGCCATTGACACTAGATTCTAGAGGCTGCCTCCCAGCCGCACGTCCTGTTGGAGGGGAAATTCAAACCATTGTTGATGTTTTAAATTTGTTTCTCTAGAAACTCTCTTGCACAACTCGCATAACTATTTGTACACTTCCTGCCGACCATTCTGACACACTCATATGAAACATTTTAATTAGGATATTGGAGTTTATATCTTTCTCTCTCTTTTCGTACTCCCACTGGACTTAGTTTCATATGCAACATTATTTTTGTCCATCGAACTGAGACACGAGGATAAGACACATACAGTACAGTATACTATATTGAAACTCCAAACTGGTAAATAAAACAGAAACAAACAGACACTTGTATGGTAAAAACTGATGCAAATAGAGGAAAATAAAATGAATGTATAAGACCTCAAACCTAATACAAGATAATGATTTAAGAACACAGGAACTATTTGCATCAGAGGAGATTAACCAACGCTAGATAACTATCGTGTCTAGTTTCTCCGAGGTGTAAGGGACTAACCATTTAACGACGTCATACAATGTTTGATAGATTACACCACTTTCCTTCCCTTCCAACCCCCCCCTCCCTCTTCTCACCTGTTATCACCTTGAGTTAACCCTTCCGCCCTCCTCTCGCGTGATACCTAACATGGCGACGAGGGTTCAAGGTTAGTGTTAAATAATTTAATGATAAAATAATACTCAGTACTTTCTCTTGAATTTATCTGATTATTTAACAAGACCTTCACATGGAACTGACAAACTGACATATAATCATAATTTGAAGTTAAGGAAATTAAACACTAATTTGTAATGATGAGTTTAGAGCTTAAATGCTATATGCCTTTTATATACACAAACAATGTCTTTAGGCAGAGAAATTTATTGTTTTTATTGATAATTTTCAAGTTAGGATACAACTAACATTAGGAAATATTAATTGCTAATATGAAGTTTAATAAAGTGAGTTAGTTTACGTTTCAGCTAGTTGTGTGTACCAAAATAGTCAAAATTATGCATATGTATTTCATAAAGTTTATGTACTATATATTAACATATAAAAATAATTAAATTAGTATGTATTAGTTTTCCCTTCTAAAAAGTATTTGACAAGAATTATAACTTCTTGACACTTTACAACACCTCCCTTACAATGACGTCACGAATGAGTATTAAAGGCGTGGCGGACGAGAAACAGTAATTCTGGGTGCTGTATTTCTCAGACATATAGACATAAGATAACTCCATGACCATAGTGTTAATACCACATAGTTTCTGAATTAAAACACATGACAGTTGGGGTTGGACTGTGATAAAATCTACGAAGTATAAATGAAATATCCAGTGTTGCATTCTGTTATGCATTTTACCGTAAATGATCAAAGTTCAGGGCCCTCTTCCTAAATGATACCAGTTACTTTAAATAGGGTTTGATATTTCATATTATATTTCCATAGACTTGTTGCAGTCCTCCCCCTACGCACTTTATGGTTTAACTTCGAAACTATGGGGTATTGACACTATGGTCATGGGGTCATTCATACTTATGTATGTCTCAGAAATACACCCCCCAAATTAAGAAACGAATTTCCAAATACCATGTATAATATATATATATATATATATATATATATATATATATATATATATATATATATATATATATATATATATATATATATATATATATATGTAACCGGTCGGAATTTACTGGACTTTAATTTCTCACTTGACTTGGGGTTTATTAAAATTAATAGATGGTAATGGCAGTGGAAGCGCCCCTTTGAGAAAAATCCCGAACCAGCACAAGAACACTTAAATCTACAAAACAAAATGAATTGTCCGTGACCCGTGGAAGGATAGCGTCTGTGACTGGGATGAATGAGACACACTGTAAAATTTAGACACTTATATTCCCTCCAACACTACAAACACAATCAAATAATGGTACACCAATATGCCCACCTCTTAACCTTAACTTAAAACACTACTCTGGGGAATAAAAGTTATACATGATATAGAAAATATTAGAAACTCAAGCAACAATAAATTTGAAGTATTAAGAAATGTTGCTTGCACACATGAAACAGGCCTTAAGGGCTTTCACAAAATAATATCAGTCACTTAGGAAATGGTATTAAAAAATAAGAAATTAAATATTGTGCAATGAATAGGCCTTAAGGGCTTTCAACAAAATAATATCAGTCACTGAGGAAATGGTAATAAAAAAATCGAACTTAAATACACTACAATGAATAGGCCTTAAGGGCACTCAACAAAATTATATCACCCCAACAGATGCACACTTCCTAACCTAACTTAACCACTACTCTGGGGAACAAAGGTTATACCTGAGATCAGAAATATGAAGAAAAATTAGATGCATTAAAAGAATCAAAGCACAGTATCACTCTGGTTCCACTTAATGACACAAACATTCAAAAAACAATACTATCAAAATTATTTAAGAAATATTAAACTACACACGTCAAGATAATATCAGTAACTGAGAAATGGTATTAACTACACCCAAATATATTCACTATTATTAATATGTTACTGGGTCCACCAATACTCGTGAACCATGCTCCACCCAACTCAACATACACCCGTAATAAGGGAGATAAAATGTTCCTCTAGGTATCTCCTAGAGTCCTAGACTCATGGTCTCAGTGTGTGACCATTAATTTACTCAGATAGCCTCAGTGTACTCCCAGTGCGTCCATAAAGCAGAAGGGAGTGAGCCAATCAGACCTTGTACAGTTGAGAGAAGCTTTAGCTTCCCGTTAGCAAGAGGGTTTCACTAAGCTGCTCGAGACATGTGGGGTTGTGAGCCGAGGTAGAGGAGAGCTGCTGACCCAACGATCGTCCCGTCGTCAGCTGGGCACCCAGATGGCTAGATTCCCTCAAGAGATCCTTTGATACCCCGCTAAACAGTGACAGGCCTCCACTGATCGGTCCAATGGCGACAATCGCCACCCTCAATCATCAACGGCGGTCTCAAACGGCAGTCAATCTCTCGCAGTCAAACTCCGGTCAACTCCCGTCAAGTGGGTTCTGACGGAAACCCTGAAATGCACTCACTGTTAGCTCTAGTTTACTTTATCACTGCCCTATCTAAACCCTGTCTGAGATTGAATGAGACTTACTTGTTATACTGCAATAGCGCAGCACAGGTGACTAGGCCACGTGACTATTTCTGTGACGGACGCGCAGGGACGTCTTGTTTGTCTGACTGCTCCCTGTGACTGAGGGAGAGCCAGCGTTGCGTCCTCTCAAGGCGTTAGCTTAGGCCTACGTGACATATTTTCCGCCTAACTAATAACTCCTTGGGACACCCGTAACATTATTCAGACTGATAAACGATCTATAATAATTTCAAATTCAATAATAGTCCCTTAACTTCATGAATCGCATCATCATTATTAATTCGGCAAATTACATTTAATATCACTTAGGCCTAGTTCCATAACCTCTCGCTATGGGCGGGGAGCGCTCTCTTCCCTCAGACGACCTTGAACGCTCAGTATCGCTAATGGCGGGGCATTTGAAATTTCTGAATATTACATATATATATATATATATATATATATATATATATATATATATATATATATATATATATATATATATATATATATATATATACTGCTAAACAAAATCGTTACATCTACTTAAAATTTTTTGGGTATCACATCACGTCACATCAACCATTAAAGCTTTTCAACCTTTTTTTCCCACTTCCGAGGTGGGCCAGGGGCGGTAAACGTGACAGTGTACAATATATTGACTAAAAATACCGTATAGTCAAGAAATGACAAAATGACGCAAATATGGGAGGGGCTGCAGTTATAAAAGGCTCTGGTCGGTCTGAGAAAGCATCAGTCACCTTCACAGTTCACTGCCGTCATGACTACCAAGGTGGATATAGTTCATCTCCACACTGACAAGAGTTTGAAAGTTTATAATGAGATGTGAATAGAATGCAATAAATTATATACTACGTCATGAAATACTTGCAAAAGATATCATTATCAGTGAAAGTTTAGTATAGTTAACATTAATGTTTTATGACAAGTGTTGTGCTCTTGCCCTGTAGGTAATGTTTTTGGCCGCCCTTGTGGCTGCAGCCCTCGCCAAACCTGACCCACAGTACAGCCCCCCCACTCCCGCATACAACCCCCCCGCCCCCTCCTACAGCGCTCCCGCCCATCCAAGACCTTCCTACTCTGCTGCTCCAGTTTATCCTGATGTAAGTCGGTGCTTCCAGACGTATCACGTTAGGGTAACTGTTGACAGATGACATGTGTGGTTACGTAGCTGTTGCAGTATAATGAATATATCCAAATGAAAGTGAAGTTATATTAAAAGAGCATTCTTTTCATTAAATATGATAAAAAAAAAATATGTGCAAGATATAGAATGTTCCAACTACATTATTGGGACAAGTGTTGGTACCAAATATAATCAGGTCATGCAATAATAATGCATTAACTGTTTTGACCACAGACTCCTCCCCAGTACAACTCTCAATACGTCGTGAGGGACGACTACTC